GAAATGCCTTAAAATGCAAGATTAGGTCCTAAAACATGCTGCCAAGTGATTATTTTGTGTTTAAATGTCCAAAAAGTATTTTATATGAATATTTAAAAAATAACTTTTCTTTCCTTGTCTTTAATTCTCATCGTGTGATAAGGTCTGGACTAACTCGGGATACTGTGACCTGGAAAATTTACAAAGAAGCCTCAGCAGACATGAACGATCAGCAACGGTTCTTTAAGAACTCTTGGAAATTCAAGGATCGATTTGTCATTGGATGAGCAACGGAGACTAAACATGAGCGTCCACAACGCAAAGGTGAGCGAAAACCGAGATATAAACATGGACTTAATTTATGGTGGTGGTTAAGTTTTTGTTTTTAAAAATAAGATGCGGATAAGTAGAGAAATTCAAGTATTTAATAACTACATTTTTGGGCTTAAAGTATGGATTTGTAGTATGAAAAAGTACTTTTATCATTTTGAAAGACAAGAATTGTTTGAAGCATCACAATTTAAAGTTTAGAAAGTAACATAAATGCAAGTTTATGCCACAAAACAAGTGAATAATTTGTGCTAAAAACTCCAAAAAATAATTTATCTGAATATTTTAAAAAATATCACCAAAAGAAGTAAGACTTTAGTCTTACTATTGCAAATAATGCGAAAAACGTCCCTTAAATGCCTCAAAATGTAAGTTTATGTCACAAAACAAAAAAAAGTGAATCAGTTGTGCTAAAGAAAAAATATTTTATATGAATATTTAAAAAATCACCCAAAACATGCCTTACTATAGGTAGCGGAGGTACCAGGTGTTACCAGGTGAGGGTTTTCACTTTTTTTTAATATAGCTGAATAAACCTTTAATGACATGTATGAGTTTCATTATGAGCTCTTCATGTGGCTGGATGGCGCAGAGGAATAGCACACAGACTGTGAATCTGTGGACCTGGGTTCAATCTCTGGGCTGGGCAACAGTAGTTATACTCTGCACTTAGTACTTTGGCTTTTTTTTTAAGAGCATGAACTAGTTTCACCAACCAGTAAAAGTTCCAAATGGGTCATTTTCCATGGCAATATAGCCCAGAGGATAAGTCCATGGACTTTGGTCCCAGGAGTGCAAGTTCAGATCCAGGCCTGGCTGATACAATTTTATTTTATTCCGGTACCAGGTGGTACCAGGTACCTGGTAACCAGGTATTTCCCCTAAATGCCTTAAAATGCAAGACTATGTCCTAAAACATGCTGCCAAGTGATAATTTTGTGTTTAAAAGTCCAAAAAGTATTTTATTTGAATATTTGAAAAATCACCCAAAACATGCCTTACTATAGCCTTACCATCGTGAAAAAATCCATAAAAATAAAAAGTCTCCGAAATGCCTTAAAATGCAAGATTATGTCCTAAAACATGCTGCCAAGTGATTATGTTGTGTTTAAAAGTCCAAAAAGTATTTTATTTGAATATTTCAAAAATCAAGTGAATATTTTGTGTTTGTTGGCCTTTTTTGTAACATTTGCACACATTTGATGTGATCAGTATTTGCAGCATAATTCAGTAGGAAAAGTTGCTTGTATTTTCCTTTAGCTGCACTGACAATTGTGTCCAGTGATCGTGTGAACCTACTCATTGATTAACTAATATGCCCGCAGTGTCACCTGGTGTTGTGCAAGGCGCTTGTGATTGGATAGCGGATACGTTCCCTATAAAACCGGAAGGAATTGGTAATAGTTTCCGTCCGGGTGATGGTTGCAACATGGCGTTGTGTGAAAGCACGGAGAGAGAGAGAAAAAAAAAAGTGTGCTCTTATTACGCCGGTACGTGTTTTCGTCTCTGGTTCTCTTCACTTTGGTGATTAATGCGTCATGTGAAGGACCGGTAGAGCTGACGGGCGCTTTGTTTAAAACCGTTCGTCAGCTGCTGAACGGTTGAGTGGGGCAGGCGGTTAGCGTGCTGAACAGTAGCGTGTTTGAGGCGCACTGTTTGCACATTTAAACCAACTTTGACTGCACGTATCGTTTCAGTCACCGTGTTATTCGGCTTCTAAATATCTGCAGGCTTGGTTTGGGTGGTCCAAACACCCTCATTCATGATTTAAGCGCGTATGTGTGCGAGTTCTCCCGTACACTTGATTAACTTGATCGAGTGAAGCCCTTCAGGTGTAGCAGCAGACCACTATCGCCATCACCTGGCCCGGTGGACTCAATGACTCCAAGAAGTCCGAAGCATCTGGTTTGTGTTACGTGAACGACATCATCCTGGCCATTTTTGAGCTACTCAAGTAAGCCATCTTTAAACCGTGAATTTTTTTTTTTTTTTTTTTTGAGGCCATGGTTTTTGAGCGCCCAGAGAGCAGTGTATGGGGACGGTGCCATGCTCAGATGGTAGTTGCACAGGTAGTAGTGTTATTGTATACTTTTTCTTTATTTGAGCATTTGTATGTAATGTTTTTATTTTATCTTGTGTTTCAGGCCAAAAGAAGCGGAGGTTAAACCAAGTTGTTCTACTCCTGATGATGGGACCTTAGTTGAAGCTTTTTTTTTTTTTTTTTTTTAAATGTGTATCTATGGACTTTGATTGAATGCATGTTGTGTTTTGCTATTAAAAGAATCAAAAGTTTTTGGGTTTAACTTGTTTTATTAAACTTACTGCTTTTTACTACTTTTTAACTAAAACTGAACTTTTTTTTTTTAAATTAAAACTTTAAAAAAAAAA